TAAGTTATATATAATATAATAAGAGTTGCTTGTTCCATATTCAATGTTAAAGCAAAATTTGTTTTGTTCCATATCAGAGGTTCATTTGTTCAATCTCGGCTTGGTTCAGGTTTTACATTTTGGCCCACTGAGTTTTGGAGTTTGACCCCCCTGATCTAACCGGTCGGTGGTAAAAGCTAAAAGGTGAAAAACGGTGGGTGGTTTTTACCATTCAATATAAAAGCTAAATTAGTTTTGCCCCATATCAAAAGGTTCATTTGTTCAATCTCGGCTTGGTTCAGGTTTTACATTTTGGCCCACTGAGTTTTGGAGTTTGACCCCCCTGATCTACCCGGTCGGAGGTGAAAGGTGAAAGGTGAAAAACGGTGTGTGGTTTTTACCTGAGGACTGTGCAGGTCTGTGGTGAGCATTATTATGGAGTAGGCCAGCACATAAGCCGTGTCCGCACTGGCAAACAGCGTCTGTCTGCAGACCGGGAGAAAAACAGGAGTCAGACACAGAAATGTACAGTAACGAAGTAGTACTTTTACTTTTACTCCACTACATATTTTTGAATAATTTAATACATTTACTTTTTTTTATTTTATTTTTTTTACTGTGTATCATGTATTTGTTCATCAGGAGATTATACATATATTGATGTTACATACATTGTACAAAGCTTACATGACTTCTCAGATTTTTTGTTTTCTTTTTTACACTTTTTTATTTTTTTCCCCCTTCCCTCTTCCTTCCCTCTTCCTTCCCTCTTTCTTCTCCCCTTTCCCCCTTCTTTCCCTCTTCCCTTCCCTTTCCCCGTAGCGAACATAAATCCCATAAATCCCTGTATTAACATAACAAAAACAGGACCAAATAAGTATAATTACATTAAGAAAAAAAAAGAATACATTAACAACCAAAAGATTTATTTATTTAATACATTTACTTGTACTTTTATGGACTGAATCGTTACTCGTTGGTATGGTGTTGAAAGAACACTTCAACTTTTACTCAAGTCAATTTTTTTTTATATAGTACTTGTACTTCTACTCCACTCCTATACTCCAGTACTTCATACATCTCTGGTAACGAGTAACGATTCCGCCTGTGAAAGTAAAAGTATTAAATTAATCAAAAACATGTAGTGGAGTAAAAGTCAAAGTAGGGCAAAAAATATATATACAGAAACTGCCTTTTGGTACTTAAGTACAGTACTTAAGTAGCTCTACTTTGTTATTGTACATATCTGCTCGTTACTGATGTGTAAACGTTATGAATCATAGAGTCAGAGCCAGAGCTGTAGATAGCTCTGTCAGGGTTTGGGAAGCTGGCTCCTCATTGGCCGATTTGAGCAATCATTATAGCCTATTAAAAAAAAGCCTCCCGAAAGATTGCGAAATCATGGCCTTCAAAAATTCCCCATCTAATCTGAAGAAGCATATAAAGGCAAGTTAAAAAATACAATGACATTTAAGCTAGTAAATACGCGCTAGTTCAGTTCTCCCCGTTCACTCAGGATGTAGCAGCTAACGTTAGCTAAAGCTAACCTAGCTGGCTAGCTGTATGCTACATGCTAGCATAGAAGGTTAGCTCAGGATTCTGACTCTGGAATAATAAAAAATAGTAGATGAATAGCTGTTGATTGCTAATGCAGATGTATTTTTCTGTTTTTTGTAAACACCTGTATGGCCTTTCACACGTTTGAAATATAAACAATATCTATCACACTTTTGACTGCCTTTTTTAAATAGACACAGTACTTTTACTTTTATTTATACTTGTACTTTCAATACTTGAGTAGCAATTTTTGAAATACTTCTACTTGCAATACTTAAGTTTAAAAAAATGGAGTACTTCTGTGCTTCCACTTAGGGTTGTCACGATACTAAAATTTTCAACTCGATACCGATACTCAGGAAAATACTCGATACTCGATACCATTTTCGATACCACAAGGATAAAAACAAAGACCCCAAAATTGAACTGAATCGATACTTTGGAAAATGAGTATCGTATCCGGATACAACATTCACTTTTGACAACCCTACTTCAACTTAAGTATGGAGTTAAAAGAACACTTCAACTTTTACTCAAGTCAATTTTTTTATATAGTACTTGTACTTGTACTCCACTCCTCTACTCCAGTACTTTATACATCTCTGTTCAGAGGAAAAAAGCCCAAAATCAGAGGCGACAGCTGGCTCTCACCCCTGGTTACACTCCAGGTAGCGGGCGGCAAACTTCTCCATCAGCCGGTCGATTTTCTGGGCCTCCCCCGGCAGCCTGAAGCCCTCCAGAAAGGCCCTCAGCGCGGAGACGAAGTCCCGCCCGCAGAAGTCCAGCTGGTCCACGTAGCAGTACATCACCTCCTTGTTGAACTTGGTGTTTTCACCCAGGAACTCGCCCACCTGCGTCTGGTGGAGATTAGCGGGTAGAGATTAACTCATTGGCTGCCAGAGACGTCTATAGACGTCTTTTATGTTTTTCAACGAGAGTGGCTGGGGGACGATCTGCTAAAGCTTGTCCGTAAATATCGGCTTCTAGAAAGAGTATGTAGTAACAAATTGACCCTCTAGGGGGCAGTGCCACTTTTGATGGGAGATGAGCATAGACTGTAGGCAAATAAGAAAAAGGTAATGGTTCGATATGAGAGAACATGTCGCCGGTGAGACGCAAGTCCAGGAAGAACGGAATAAGGTAGAAACAAATTTTTTTTCCTGATGAAAGAAGAGAGTCTACTCTTTCTTTTGGTGTGTTCGGTGTTTACATAGTCATAGCACAAACTATTCTGTGGCTCTTGAAAAATCAGTCAAAATGCTAAAAAAACTCAGGCAGTATGGGACTCTGTTCTGAAAATGGCTGGCAGTCAATGAGTTAGCGGGTGGAGGTTAGCGGGTGGAGATTAGCGGGTATAGATTAGCGGGTGGAGGTTAGCGGGTGGAGATTAGCGGGTGGAGATTAGCTCACTGTGTCCAGGCGGTCCTCCTGCTGGAGGAACTGGGCGATGTCCTCGGCGCCGGAGCCCAGCATGCCCTGGTCCTGCAGGTACTGGATGCCGCGCTTTGGCTTCTTGTTGAAGCTGAAATGGGAGCAGACAAACTCAGTATGGAGATACACACGGGTCTGAAGTAGGGATGTCCCGATCCATCTTTTTGCACTTTGGATCCAATACCGGCCTATCAGAGCATGTGTTAAAGTTTAAAGTTATTTATCTAATTACTTAGTTGTCAGACTCATGTTGAACAGGGATTTACTCTGATAACAACTTAATGGTTAGGACACAGACCTGTGGGTTAGGAGATGCTAATGCTAATGCTCAGGTGGGATCGGACTGTAACAAAAAACTGGATCTGGAGTCTGGATCTTCATATTCTCCTGCCTGATGCATTTTTTGGCAAATATCGGCGGCCGATCCGATCCAGATATAGGATCAGGAGAAGCCTAACGAGCATTAGCATCTCCTTTAAACTTTAAGATTGGCTGGGATCTGTGTCCTAACTTAATGGTTAGGACACATACCTGTGGGTTAGGAGATGCTACTGCTCGTTAGGCTTGAGAAAATGCTGATCCAGATCCTTTTTTTTTTTTTTTAAAAGTCCAATCCCACACGAGCATTAGCATTAGCATCTGCTAACCCACAGGTCTGTGTCCTAACCATTAAGTTGTTATCAGAGTAAATCTCTCTTCTGACAACTAAGTAAGTAGACTAAATAACTTTCAACTTTAAGACATGCTCTGTCTCTGTCTTATAAAGCTGGATCGGGACGTCCCTAATGCTCGTGTGGGAAAAAACTGGATCAGGAGTCTGGATCTGCATTTTCTCCTGCCGACCGATACACATTTTTTTGCAAATATCGGCGGCCGATCCGGTCTAGATATCAGTGTGTTTGGGAGTTTTTCGTCACCCCTCGCCACCTAAGGTTTTGATTTTTGCACTTTGCCATAGTCTTGTTTTGTGCCATAGCCATGTTTTTTTCATAGCCTTGTTTTGCCACAGTCTTGTTGACCTTGTTTTGCCATAGTCTTGTTTACTTTATTTTCTAGACCGGATCGGGACCAGCCTTGTCTGGAGTCAAACCCTCAGCCTTTCCCGGCGCCCTCACAGTTCGATGCCGTGCTCGATGATGTCCTTCTGCTGCTTGATGACCTCGTACTGCTCCGGGTGGTCGGGCTGGAGGCTGGACACGGTGGAGTCCAGGGAGCTGACGCTGTCCCGCCGCCCCAAAAGCTGCTCGGGAAGCTTAAGCTCCGCCCCCTCGCTGTCCGACGGATGCTCTTGACCTGAGACCAGAGCAAAGGTAAGTAAGTAAGTAAGTAAGTAAGTAAGTAAGTAAGTAAGTAAGTA